AGCATATCCTGTGAGACTGTATTTTTCAGTTTTAGGGTGCTTATTTTAAAGGAAAGACCAAGTAGGCTGATTGTGGTATGAGCTTTTATAGCAACAGAACATTTAAAAAGTTGGTCAAGTGTAAAGTGAACTTAAGCCTTCCTATTAGAGGGAAACAGTGAAATACTTAAAAGGAGATGGTGCATTTTAAACTCAAATATACCAAACATGAATTTTGTCGTTTTAAATCTCCTTGGAGAACAGATGCAACCCACAACTCCAAAGACCACCAGTGAGATTTTAGTGGGAGTGTTGACCAATTACATTACCTACAGATTACATTTCCTGAAAGCTGTAAACACAAGAGTTCAAGACAGACCACAGAAAGCATTGTTTCCACATCATTCAACAGTCAAGCATATTAGCACACACATTCAACACTCACCTTTATGGAAGCAACTTGGGGCAGGGGGATAGTTTCTACATGCAGTGTGTGATGATCCCATTCATTTAAAATAATTGTGTATAAGGATGCTAGGGAACTACAATGTGGTATTGCATCTGATGTGAAACCTGAAGATTGACACTGAAATCCCTGCTAGATGGGCCAGGGCAGAAAGAGAGAGCATGAGAAAACCACCTCCCTAACTCCCTAAAGGAAGGGGCAGGAATAATTGTAACGTCAACGTGCCCTATGCTTTGTCAAAACGTTTCTTGTCCCCCAATGCTAAGAAATATATTCCAAATTTGTTTTACATTTTATTCTGGCCTTACAAGATGTATACAACTGAAACTGATAGCCAATTTAATGAAAATGGACTTATTATTACTGGCTCAAGGTCCTGAAGTAATTTGGAATTAACTGACGGTTATTTTCCACTACGTACATCCACTTCCTTCAAATAAGCTCTTTGGCCTCTGGGAAGGTGATAACAAGTAATGTTATCCTATTACTCTGGTCTTGGCAATGACTCAGTGATGGTCCTGTGGAATTCTCAAGTTAGGCAAAGATGAATGTATACTCCAGGGGAAAATTAGCAGTGGTATTTCATTTTGAACAACACTTAAAAACAAAGTAACTTAACATTACATACTGCAGCAAGTTTTGATAATCTTTTGGACTTTTATTAGTCTTAGAGTGCCAATATATCAAAACTTGTTCATAACCTTTTGTTCCAGACAATAAAAAAGCAAGGCTCTGACAGAACCATTCTGCTCTGAGTAAAATACCAAGGCACCAAGAATTTAAAAATAGCTTTATTGCATACCAGGATCCCACCCCCCCAAATGTTTTTAAAATAGCATTAATTTAAATGTAAACTGTATTAAAAAAATATTTAATACTGCAATAAAATTGGGATTATTTACATGCACTGAACAAGTTGTCACCAGAGTCAGGATAACTGTTATGGACAACACATGGCTTCTCCATTCTTACTTTTTTTATAACATAGAAGTCTTAAGAACTTCACAAGGTAATGGCATTGTTATACTCCAGGTGCAAAATATATCACATTGCCTATTATTAACGTAAAATACACACACCCAAAACATTTATAGGCGAGGTTATGTGTTATATTATCTACTGCAAGGCAACAACAGTTTAAAAATAGTTAACCATATTTTGAAAAAATAAACATTCTGTATAAATCATTATGTTAGTTGGATTAATACGTGAGCAATTCAGGAACAGCAACACACAAAAATCAAGCTAATAGGAAGCCTCACTTTTATAGGTTATATAATTGGAACCACCGCAACACAGGACTAAATTTACACATGAGATGAGGAAAATCTGAGAAACTGGGGAGCAGAAACTGGGGAGCTTCTCTTAGTGTGTATCATGCGTGCGTTCCTTGATCAGCAGCAACAGAAAGGCCAACAATCTTAACAATAGATTTGCCCCATCCCAAGTGATTTCTGTAAGTCAGATATGAGGCACTTTATCACAGGAATGATTCACTCTGGCTGTGCATCAAGGTGTTTTGAGGTAAAGTAAAAACAGAAGCATCTAGAGAGGCATATTATTAGGAACTTCCATCTGTAAAGGTGCACAGAAGGAAACAGTCTGGCCTTGAAGGCTGTGCAGTCTCATTGCATTTATCTTTAGCAGATATTAAAGTGAGCCCTTTAGCAGCAGACACTGGAGATTTTCCCATCACAATGCACTAATTTAAAGTCAAGGGAAGCAAAGCTAAATATCTTGCTGGAGAATACAAGCATGTTCCATTTGCCACCCAGTTCACAAAGCTGACTTTGCTGCTCTACAAGTTTAACTGCTTGCTATGATTTCACAAGCTTTTTGGGGTAACCGGTGTGTGTGTGTGTGTGTGACATCTGACCAAGATTATACTAATAAATGCCTTGTTAACAGAGATATGGGATGGTTTTCCAGCAGAAAAAGGCAGGACAGACTGGAGGTATTTTCATACCCGAAGCAGAAAGGTAAAATTATCCCCCCACCATGGTGGTTACTGCTGCCAAAAAGCAATGCACCTTGCTGGAACCCAAAAAGGGATAGACACAGGCCCCTTCTTGCTCTGGAACAACACTTCTGAAAAATACACACTGACACAAAGGGCCGTTTCTTGATTCTGTACTCACATTACCACTGTGGCTCAGAATCCAGAGTCCAAAAACTGGGGAAATGGGTGCAAACACAAAATGGGAACACACAGGGAAGCAAGAAAGGAGATATAGTAGCCAGGAAAGAAAATAGGGTGTGGGGAGGAGAATGTGCACATGGGCCTACAGCTAATCACCCCATTTTTATTCTACTTAGTACACTTGGCGTAACCTCGGTGACCTCAAGTTTAAGACCATATGCACCTTGTGAGTTGGATCTAGACTTAAGACTCATTGAAGTCAGTGGAACTTCAGTCACAGCTGAGTCCCATTGATTCCACTGGCTCTGCTTCAAGCACAACTATGCTTGGATCCAACCCATTGTCAATAGAACACCTCCCGCCAACATGAAAGCTGAAGAGAGTTGTGTGGGAGGGAAAAAACCAACATGATTCTATTTTCTAACAGGTTCAACATTTTAAGCTTTCTTCCATTCATACAAATCCAAATCTGAAAGTGTGCCTACACTGTTTTAACTTGAAGAATACATCAACCAGTCATTCCCAAAATATGAGTTAGCGCAAACTACTGTGACTGTGAGAGAATCACAAGTGTGCTGAGAGAAATAAGTTGTTAAAAGCGTTCCTTTGAGACAGTGGCCATTTCTTCTTGCCAACGACCCTGAGTGAGAGGCAACTAATTTGCCCACGGTTCTGCGCTGGGGGTGTGGTTTTGATCACTCTGCTGCTCTTGTGTAAAACACACTGCTCTTGGGTCTCTGCGTAATATTTATTTAATAACAGTGGCTGAATGATCCAAATAACACCCATAACGCAGAAATGCAGTAGAGGTACCTGCCTTCAGAAGAGATTACTTTCTGGGCAAATCTATGCGAATCACCACTATAGAATGCCTTCAATTTCAGCTTAGGAAAACGGGGGGCCAAGTATGAGAAAGGTTGCCAGAGTCACTCTTGTCTGGTTAGCCAGACTGAAATGCTTTAGGGCAGCACTGCACAATCTTCTGCCCATCAGATGTTTTCGACAACAACTCCCACCAGCCCCAGCCAGCCTGGTCAATTGTCAGTGATGATGGAACTTGTAATATGAAACACCTGGAGGACACCAGGTTACAAGGGGGGGAGGGAATTACCCTCTTCTTACCTTCATGCACTGTTCTAGTTCGCCCCGAATGGCTCAAAATAATTGGTTTTAAGAGATAAATATGTACAGGCAAGGGTCCCCACCTTCACATTTCTCAATCATTTTCCTACCCCCCCCCCAAATGACAAATAAGAGCTGCTATTAAAAAGGAAAAAAACCCTGGTAAAGGGGTGGGCGAAGAGAAGCAGCACTTTCTCAGCACTGCTTTTGGAATAAAGTTTCTGGTTTATAGATTTCTGGTGATTTAAGCATCGCCTCTTATCTGCTTTTAAAAGCCAGCATGCATAAACAAGAGACCAGTCAGATCTTAACAGCATCTCTTTGAAGTGAAAAAGCACAGACGGGTCAGAATTGAGTATTGTAACTAAAAAAACAATAGGCCATTTCATAGTGTGTAAAATATGAAATGAATACAAACGTGGAGCAATTCACTGAACTGCAACCAAATACTGATAAGGTATACTCCCACTGGTCATGGGATAATTAGTACACTGGGCTCTCAAGTCAACACACTTCCCACAGAAAGTAGGAAAGAGAGAGCTTCTGTACAGGGCTTATCACATCTTATGTCAATCACAGAAAAAGCTCCCTTCCCCTGTAATCTATCGTCTCTTAACCTTTACTCTGGCAGATAGGTTGTTATAGCTGCACTGAAGACAGGAGCAAAATTAATTACTATCAGTATGTGTTTCTAGTTTGCATAATCGGAAAAATATATGTAGTACTATATTCCACCTCGGGAGCAGAGGCCTCTTTTTTTTTTTTTTGCTGGAACCTACAATTAATCAGTAGTTTACCACATTTCTCACAACTGTACTAAGTGTTATTTGTCAAAATGTTTCAACCTTACTTAGGGCAATGTGCTCTCTTTGGCAGAGGAAGCTATCACCATTTATGCCAGCTGGATTAACTGGTTTCTGTTGGGTGTGGCTTATAAAGCACAACAAGCAAAAGGACAAAAATTATTGGCCTTTTTTGGTTTTAGATTCCTCTGTGTGTGTGTGTGTACCTTTATGGTTAGGGAGCCCTTTAGGTCTGCTGCAAGATCACTTCCAGCAATACAGAAAGACAGAAATTGCACCTCTGGAAGTATGTACAACCCATTCAAAGACTGCATTGTTTCCAGGGCTGGGGGAATATGTGGAACAAAACTAATATGGGACAGGGAAGAGGAAGTGGTGTTAGCATTACCAATCTTTAAAATGTATAATTAAGCTGCAATAAAGTGCTAAAAAAGTATTACGCTTCCCTCCTCATCCCCTTTAAAAGAATGTGCCCAGAATTCTCGCTGCTTCATTTAGTGGTAACAGGAGTTACTGAAATGCTATTCACAATGTCTTCATATTGAGGCGGTGGATCCGAGTGATTTGCCGCTTCCTTTCTCCTCGGGCCATTTGCACCAGCCACTTCCTCATACGATGGCGGTGGGTCGTAATTTGACAGCCTGATTGATATTGAGTCTGAACGTCCGTCTGTGTAGCTCAGATATCCTGGAGAGTTTCCATTGCCTTCAAACATTTCTTCCTGGGGGGAATGAAGAATGCTGAGTGGCTGAGGAAGTGGACTGCTTCCATCTGCAACAGTTCTGTCACCTGCGACTTCTCTGGTTCTGCTATGGGCATACATGGAACGTCTATGCATTTTCTTTCTGAACAGGCACCTCCATGTGATAAATATGATAAGAATAACTAAAAAGCCAATGATTAATGGAATCACAAGGTAAAATGGATACCAGTTATGTCCTCCATTGATTTCCCCATTGAGCCTCTTCGTGTAGTCCTTCCAGAACTCCATCTGAAAATATGACAGAAGAAAATAGGTTTTCTGAGAGGTCTTTCCCCTATTTCTGATTGGAGAAATGAGAGGTTTTATGGCTGCACAAAAATACTGCTTCAGGAGTCAGCACACAAGTATTCTGGCAGGTTTCCAGTATATGACCTCTTATCAACCAATTTTCATTTCAGTTCCATTAGACGCTCTTTTAACACTTGTGCACACATTTAAGAGTAATTATTTTCCTTTCTCATAATTGCAGGGAGAAGAGGTAGAAAAAAAGACAGTTTATCATATTGATATAAAACAGCAAAATATCTTCCTAATAATAATAATAATAATTTATTATTTATACCCTGCCCATCTGGCTGAGTTTCCCCAGCCACTCTGGGCGGCTTCTAATCAAATCTTAAAAACAATACAGCATTATTACATTACTTTGTGGCATAGCACGGCTCATAAGAGCATAAGGACAATATTGAGCCCAGCATCCTGTTCTCCCAGTGGCCAACCAGAGGCCTGTGGGAAATAAGGGAGCAGAACATGAACACAAGAGCACCATCTCCTCCATGGTTTCCAGCACTGCTGCCTCCAACTGTGGAGATAGAGCACAGACATTGTAACGAGTAGCCATTGTCTCCTTCAGACACAAAATGTTCTGTGGAGGCTGGTCCATGTCAGCAAATGGGCACTCCCCTACCAGCCCCAGTCTGCCTCAAACTGCCTGTCCTACATGCCTTCTTACTAACAACCAATACAAGGGACAGGGTGCAGTGGGTAGGCGGGACATTGGCTGTCAGTTTCCTCCTCCTTGGTTTGTTTCTCTGGTACGATTCAGCAGGGAGGATGGGGACAAAACCGTAATCAATTTGTCTGTCACTGGTTCTGATTCTACCTACTGTTGGCCTCTTGAGTTTCTACCCTCCCTGGCCCAATGAGCACCAGCCACCACTAAATGTTTGTGAATACTGGGCAGTTTGGCACAGTATAGCAGTTCCCCCTTTCAGCTTGGACAGCTACTTGTAACATTCAAATTTCAATTTATGGCTCAAATGGCTCCACTTTCTATTGCCATAACATAAATCCAACAGTGAGTGAAATTATCTGAGAAACTAGGGTACAGAGATGTCACAAATTTATAGCTTATTCAGAAGTTAGTCCTGAGTTCAGTGGGATTCACTTTTACTCACTGAATTTAATGGGCCCATCCAAGTAAAACTTAGCTGAACACCACTCAATGATTCCATTACCCAAGTGCTTGAGATAAGAGAGATGGAGGCAAGAGTGTCTAGTAATCCAAGTTCTCTTTTTTCTTGCTTTCAATTTGCTGCAGTTTTGAACTAACTTCTCGTTCAGAGATTAAAGAAAGTTTTGTGTTCATTATGTCGAAAAGAAATATAAACCAATCAGTATCATTAAAAAGAAAGTTAACCCAGGAAGCATACCTTTACAACTGCATAGCTAACTTACCGTCTTCTCATCATTTTCAAAAGCTTCTCTTGCCTCTTCTCTGTTACAAATTTCTTCAAAGCATTCGCGTTCAATGTTTCCTTGCTTTAATTCCTCCAAAAACCCATTAGCCCGCGGATATCTTTTCAGGACAGAATTGGCTTTAGTCTCTGAGATGAACACTGCCAAAAAAACAAAACAGAGGTCAGTGGCAATTTAAAACAGAAACATTAGGTTTTATTTATTTTATTTAATTCAGGATAATTCTTTTTCTAAGGCAAGAATATGTAAACTTATTTCTAAATAAAGCACGTGTGTCTAGTGATTATATGATTATCATTTTTAACTGTCCCAAGCACAAGGGCCTGGAGCGGTTAACAACATTTCAAACATTACCAAGCCAGGTGAACAGGACATTCAATGCATTTTAAGTGTCAACCTCATCTCATCCCTGTAAGATTTGAACATGTTTGAATTGTCAGCACAGAAACAATCCAGCTTCTGAGGCTGGAATATAATAGCAGAAGAAGGGATGATAAATGATTTGTGGCTTTTACAGATCAAGTCAAAACCCAAGTTTTTAAATACACATCTTGTAATGCCCAGATTCAAGGTTCGTTCAGCTGCCACAAGTCCTCTGCATGTGCCAGATGACCATGAGCTCTTGTCGAGCTTTTAAGGTTAGGCCAAACCTACTGTGTATGATCTGATTTGTGGAAGCCTGCTCAGTGCCCCTAATGGATATGCAGTTTAATCCAGGGATGGATTCTTGTGATTTCCCCACTACAGGTACTTCACATGAGCCCTTTTGTGCTAGAGTTAATACTTGACTCCTGTCAGACAGTGACGATTCTTTATTGGGGTGGAGAAAAGGAAGGATCTAATAGCTGACATAACAGCAGATATAGGCATGGAAAGGAGACAATGCCCCTTGCTCCAACACACATACTCTGACACCAAAGATCCTGGCAGGGCATTACACACTCTTCCAAGTGAAAACACAAACTACTAGAACATGCACACAAACTTACCACCATCCATGTTTAGCATTGCTGTCTGGAGAGGTCAGCTGTAACATAAAAAAAGAAGGCACCCATTGTTAAATGTGAGGAACATCTCTTATTCGAAGACGTATATAAAAATGATTAAATGTTGTCAAGTTGATGGCCAGCAAAGTTTGAAAAGAGAAGCAGCTTTGTTGTTCAACTCCAGTATCTCGTTTAGTAGCACTAAACACAAAAACTATATTTTTATTTAGAATAATTAATATAGTGATCATCATTAACAAAGACTGGAACGGGTAGAGAAGTTCTACTAGGTGCATAAAGCACAGGAACTTTACACAAAGGTTAGGTAATGACCGTTCATTCCTTTCAAAACATGGGGAGCCTTTTTGTTTTCATGATTTTGAATACATGAACCACATTGGCAGGATGCAGACAACAGGAGTGCTAGGTCTGGATGGGGGTTGGGGTATTCAAATTCAAACTTCTGCTCAACCATAGAGCTCATCAGCTTTTTAGAGGCTTTAAAGAGTGCTTCTCTTAATGTTTTAATTTTGCTTATTAGCAACTGTGGGCATTTACTTTCTGGAGCATTAAAGATATAAATCTTGAACTAATTAATGGCCTTGGACAATACAATCTTCCAGTCTTATCCATCTCACATGGCTGCTTGGAGGACAGTAATCTGGTTTGTACACTGGAAATACTGCAGACTTGGGCTTAAATGAAAACCAGTTTCACAAAGCGCTGTTCCCATTCAAAGGAAGGCAAGAACGCACATGGCTCAGCATTGTGCGAAACACATGCCTTTCTCCCACATGAGATTTGTGGATATGGGAGCAGCCCATGAGAGAAGCTGAGGAATGCAGCTCAGTTTTTCCTGGTTGCGCTTTTACATGTTGCTCTCCAGAGAAGATCTAAGCACGCCCTTCACTATAGTGTAAACAAATATCTTGAACAGAAGTAAATAAATAGTGTTCTTGAAGGTAATGAATTGCAATGCCGATACATAAATTTAGGGGATCTGTGGGTAATGAAACAGGCTAGACAGCATCTGGAGTGCATATGGCATACTGTGGTCTAGTGGTTAGAGCAGCTTCTCTCAACCTTGGGTCTCTAGATGTTGTTGGACCAAAACTCCCATCATCCCTAGCTAGCAGGCTCAGTAGTCAGGGATGATGGGAGTTGTAGTCCAACAACATCTGGGGACCCTAAGGTTAAGAAAGGCTGGGTTAGAGTTTTAGACTAGGACCTGGGAGATAAGGGTTCAAATCCCCACTTTAATTAATTGTTAAATCCCATCCAAATAAACCACCCATCAGAAGTACACCCCATTTTGTCAGGACTACATTTGTTTACTGGCTCTTATTCTCATTACTCATCCTAGAGAACTCTCTGCCTTGCTTAAACCAGCTTTAAAAAAGTTCAGTGTCATCAAGCATACAGACAACACCCAACTCCTCAGATGACCTCACTCAGCAGTTTCACACAGAAGTTAAAAAGAATGGGACACAGAATCGGAGCCTCTGGCATCTTGTGGCAGACATGCCTCAGGGCCAAACAGTTGTCCCTCAGTGCTCCCTTTTAGAAATCAGGCACGCAGGTAGGAGCAGAACCACCTGAATATCATATGGTAAACGTGAAGAGTCTATCCAAAAGGATATTGTAGTCAATGACATCAAAAGCCACTCCCTGAAGGGTCCAGGAGAATTAACAGGGTTGTACTCCTGGTATTGTTTTTTCCGGCATCAGGAGGCATAGGCCTTCTGAAACAGCAATAAAAGCAATTTCTAATGACAAACCCAGGTTTGAAGCTAGATTTAAATGAATCTACATTTAGAAAGCATTAGAAAACTATTTGACGACAACAAAAAGACCCTGTCTGCCCTTTTTATTGAAACAATGCATTTTAATTGGAATTTAAGGATACCTTAAAATGATACCTTGAAAGACCTACATTGTTCCCAGTACATTTCTGAGCACAATTCAAAGTGTTGGTGCTGACCTTTAAAGCCCTAAATGGCCTTGGCCCAGTATACTTGAAGGAGCGTCTCCACCCCCATTGTTCTGCCCGGACACTGAGGCCCAGCACCGAGGGCCTTCTGTCAGTTCCCTCCCTGCCAGAGATGAGGTTACAGGAAACCAGGAAGAGGGCCTTATTGGTAGTGGCGCCTGCCCTGTTGAACACCCTTCCATCAGATGTCAAATAAACAACTATCTGACGCTTCGAAGGCATCTGAAGGCAGCCCTGTTTAGGGAAGCTTTTAATGTTTGATGGACTATTGTATTTTAATATTTTGTTGGAAGCCACTCAGAGAGGCTGGGGAATTATTATTATTATTATTATACCTCCCTTTTTGGAGGAGTATTAAGAGTTTGGCCTGAAAAGCAGCAAGCGTCCTAAGTAATGCACATCTAGAACATGGAAATCCTCTATCTTCTTTTTAAAACCTGGACGCCACCCAATAGAATGAAGCAACAATTCACTGCAAGGAATTTCAGTACTGCACACCAACATAATAAAACTAGATAAATCACAATTAAACAAAAATCACAACCATCAATCTGACATTAAACTCCAGCAAAATCATGAGCAAAAATGCACATCTTTAACTGGCACAAGAAGTTCAACAGCACCGGTGCCAGCTGTATCTCAGAGAGGAAAGTATTCCAAAACTGGGATCCCACCAATGAGAAGGTCGTGCCCTGCACTACACTAAGCAAATTTTAGTTAATGGTGGTACTGGCAGGAGAGCATTATTTATTGTCATACATTGTGTATAAGCTTCTTTGTGTAAATCACTACTATCGAGTGTCTACAACATGGGTAGGCAAACTAAGGCCCAGGGGACAGATCCGGCCCAATCACCTTCTCAATCCGGCCCATGGACTGTCCAGGAATCAGTGTGTTTTTACATGAGTAGAATGTGTCCTTTTATTTAAAATGCATCTCTGGGTTATTTGTGGGGCATAGGAATTTGTTCACCTCCCCCCAAAAATACAGTCCAGCCCCCCACAAGGTCTAATTGCATTGTATTTACAATGCATCTCCCCACCCCTCAAGAGAGCTAGAATTCAAAACCCAGCCTTTTCCCCAAACTATACAGCAAATGCCAATGACAAGTTTCCCTATCTGATAAGGTACATGTTTTGTTTTTAAAAGAATCAATACAACAGAGTCGTTTTGTGCATGTATACAAGACATGTGAGTTTTATGAAGCAACTTGTGGGTGTTTAGAGAACTGCATGAAATTATTGTGGGGTGCAGAGTATTCTGCAAAGCTTGCTCCTGGCTGGTTTGAGGGAGGGCAAATCCCACAAACACACACGGACATTCCTCTTAGTAGTCAACACTGACAGGTGTTGCAAGTACTGCTGAGGAGGGAGAGATATGGCTAATCTAATCTTGGGAGTGACTGCAATGTGCGTATGGCATGGTTCAAGTCTCTTTTTCTTGGCCATATTTTTAGTCTACTCTTCATGCAAAGGTACAGACATGTGTAGAATAAAAAGCAGAATAAAAAATAACCAAGCAGCAGCAACAATAAAAATAGAATTCAATATAGCAATGTTAGATGCCATACAAGGTTATGGTGCCAGATGAAAGTTGAAGAACCTAAGAGCCCTGCAGGACCAGGTCAAAGACCCACCTAGTCCAGCATCCAACCAGATGCTTATGGGACACTGGCAAGCAGATCCAGAACACAGCAACACTCTTGCCGCATGTGATTTCCAGCAACTGGTATTTGGAAGAATACTGCCTCTGACTGTGGAGGTAGAACATAGCCATCATTCATGACTAATAACCATTAATCACTTTATCCTCCATGAATAATTCTAATCCTCACTGAAAGCCAAGTTGGTGACCATCCTGTGACAGTGAATCCCATAATTTAACTATGTGCTGCATACTCACTTTTCTCTGTCTGAGCTAACTGTCCTAGAAATGATATTACTCAATCTGAACCAAGGCACTAGGATATTTTAAAACATATTATACAACGGCCCCAATCCAAAGTTAGCCATACTATTGAATCCCACTGATAATTTGTCCAATGGAAATAGTCATAAGTAACTTCTTTTGACCTCAGCAATAGGGCTGGATTGTGGGTCAGATAATAGAACTCTGTATGCTACTCATTTATTAAATAGATATGTAAGTAAGTAAAAGGTTAGCAAAACGCTTCCAGCACAATATGACGTTTTAGTAATGCGCCTTCCGAGGTAAACAAGGAAATATTTATGGATAATGGCCGTTGGACTGCGGGGATAGGGCTTTCCCCAATGTCAGCATTGAATTTTATATTAGGAAATATTGTTATTTAGAATGTACCTTATAACAACATAACATTTGGAAGTGGAGCTTGAGGGTGTATGATTTTGAATAAGTTACAGATTTTATATTGTATGTGTCCGGACACATATCTGCACACAATCATATGCATTACTATGTAAGCCTAATTCACTTGGGGGTTCTTGGGATGTCTTGTAGCCTAGATGCCCCATGAAGTTGCTACTTCATAAGGTAGTATGTACACATACAAGCCCACCTCCTGTATCTGACTGGGTGTGAACACAAAATAGGTAAAACGGCCAGAAATCTCGGACTACAAAAGTTGCAATCCTTTACCTACTTACTGAGAGTAAGCCCTGTTGAACTCAACTGATCTTATTTCAGAGTATATGTGTATAGGATTGTACTGTAAAATACACAGCTATTATTCTATCATTGGAAATCTGGAGCTAAAAAGTTTCAAGCAGTGCAGGGCTAGGAAGCTTCTAAGCCTAGGGTCACTTTACATCATGGAAAAATGGCATTGCTTCAAAGCAGGAAAGTGCATACATCATCTGCACTCTGCTGCTGTGGGAAATTCCTAATGCGTGCAGTGGCCACAACTGAGATGCAATTATGTCTGATGAGCTGCAACTCTGCCCACACAGCCCTGTGACATGTCACTCTTAGGTTTTGTCTGGGGAGGCTGTAATTCAGTGGTACAGCATCTATCTTTCATGCAGAAACGCTCATGTTCAATCCGCAGCATCTCC